ATAGTTGCCACACATGGCAGGCGGGTTGGCATCCACGGTTTTTAATCATTTTGACTTGTTTTGTTATAAAGAAGTTTCTGCTACCCATCTCCCGTTTCAGTTTACCTCTGTCGCCTTTTACGACACCCACTGGAAGATACGGAATAGTGGGTATTCTTAGGTGTATCATTTTATACGCATTCGTAAGATAAGACACGACCTCGTAATATTATAATCGCTGGCAATATCTTTTTCTACCAGGTTATTTTGAGAAACACCTAATTTGAGTAGAGTAACATTGAAAAAACATTTGAAATATACTCGTATTTATTAAAATTGAACAGTGACGTCTGTCGGTATACGTTTGAAGAATATTAGTATACAAGTCTAAACAAAATAACAAACAAACAAAATAAAAAAATAACCTAAACAAACTAAATCTTTGGCTAACTACATTGAATATTATAGTGGTCGTAATGTTATTTACGTAATAATCGACACTGTTACAGAAGTCTCTCCAATACATGTACTTACATGAAATTTCTTATGTATTAAAAAATTAAGACTTGTGTTAAACAATGTGTTTTTTGTAGACGTTGTAGATTTCCTTTAGCAAATAACAAAACATTAATAAACTACAAAATCGTAAATGTTTTCTTTTTTAGTTAAATAACGTTCGGAAAGTAAAGACAATCAATTTTTTTAATGAAAAAAGTCAGATATTTCAATGTTACAATGTTATACGCACAGGAATTATAAAAGTACCATTTACAACAGGAGTTCAGTTTTTTGCAGTCAGGAAACTGGACGATTGTTAAAAAATTCACTAAAACCATAATTTAAAATAAATTATTAATAATGGAACCAAAAAATCAAATTATTTTGTATTTATAGAGAGATTAGAACACTATTATCATCAGTTTTTTTTATAGAAGACAGGGCAAACGAGCATGCGAATCACCTGGTAAGCCGCAACACCGAGCAAATTGTAGGTGCGTTGACAGCTTTTTAGAAAGGAGTAAGCTCTTTTCTTGAAAGTCCCTTCTTTCGAAGCTCCTTTCCTATGGGCTTCGCGAGAAATTGTGAAATAGGATCACCAGTTTTCTTCCCGATTGGAACATCAAAGACGTAGTAAACGGTGCATACTCTGATTACAAGCCTATTAACGCTGGTGTTCCACAAGGCTGCGAGCTATCACCAACGCTGTTTCTTCTGCATATCAATGATATCTTGCAAACTGGCGACATTCATTGCTATGCAGACGATAGCACTAGTGATACATTATATACTAGCCGTGCCAATATTTCTCGGAAAAACATCACTGAATGGGACAAATTTGTGTCTGAAGTCGATTCTTAGCTGAATAAAGTCTCGGATTGGGGCTACTAAATCTAGTCCAGTTTAATCTCCAGAAGTTTATGCGTATAACGCTAAAAAAGCCCCTTTGTCGTATCTTCTCAGTTTCGAGGCACTCCCCTTGCTACTTCAGCTAGCATTGAAATTATCGGGAAGTGATGTGCCAATTTTTAGAGACCAATTTGGCATATCTAATAGAATACAGTTTCGTGGTCACTTGGAAGGGAAAGCCAAATTGGCCTTTTAAAAGCTCGGCGTGCTCAGCAGAGTGAGAAGTATTGCAACTTTGCGTGGAATTCACATGAAATACTGTTCTCTGTGCCGGGGCACCGCAGTGCCAGCTCTTTCCACTTGACCGCATCCAGCGCAGAGTGGTTGAAATAATCGACGACCTAGTTGTTTCTAATCAGCTCGATTTACTGGCACTGCTTAGGGATGTTGTATCCTTTTGTACTTTCTATAGCATCGGCCACGGGGAGTGCTTTGAGGAATTGTTTGGATTAATTCAAGCCGCTAAATTCCACGAACGCACGTTACTTGAATATTCACAATACCGTCCTCACCATCTGGATGCTTGACGGTACACCACTGCACGTTTTACTAGGAGTAAAATGACTCTGACACGGATTGTGAAGAAAGTTTTCGCATGTCGCTCTCATTATTAACTGAATATTATGATGTATTTAATTATTTCTATAAACCAAGCACATTACAGTCTCTACTTACAATTTTGTCTGAATATTTACCTCCATCTCCTCTTCAGTCACAGAAACATCCGCCAACTTATGCATGTAGGAGATTGGTTAACCACAGTCCCTCTTCTGAACTTGCTGCTGGAGATATTGCAGAACAACCTTAGCAACATAGATGAATATATGCGATAGGGCATCACATTTTCAATCCCCGATTCCCAGACCAGTGATCAGTTCCTCTACATCAGGCGCAGACGATGAAAATAATGATAGAAACATATTGCAAAAACACTTTCAGTATTCCTCCAGGAACTGTGAACATCATCAGAATTAGAATCATAAGGAAAAAAAAACTGGATCCATCTGATGAAATATCTGCTCACTCTGATCAACAGACGAGGCGCACGCAAATACAAGATCATCATTCTGATGATTCTGACAATGTGCCACCATCAAATTTAAAATAATGTAATAAGAAAATACAAAAGAAGTCTCCGTTTCACGAACATATATCAACGCCTAACTTTGTAATAATCACAAGTAAACCTAGATGAAAATCATTTATTTATATTGGTCATAAAGTGACAAAGGATTCATTTAATGCTGCTCAAGAAAAGAAAGAAAATGGATCAAAAACACCAAAACCGAAGCCAAAAACACTGAAAGTCGAAGAAATAGTCAAAGGAATAAAAATGATGAAGGAAACGGTAAAGTAGAGACGAGAAAACCCAAAGAAAAGAGAGTAAATGTAAAAAATTCATTAGTAATGTAAAAAAATAGATAATTAATTGTAAAAAATAGAAAGATGGTATTGCGGAGCTTACAAAGCTGAAGCTGCGAGTCGCAGATATGCGACAATGCACTAACTTTATGGTTCTTATTTAACTGTTTTTTTTTTCTTCTATAAAAGAAATTTTTGGCCTTACAAGGTGTACGTACATATGTCTTTTTGCATTACATTTGCAGAACACCATTTACCGATAACACTGCTTAACTATTGTGCTGTAATTATTAACATTAATCCATTCATACATCACAATAGTCCCCAAAATTGTTAGAAAACATAGAATCTTTTTTGTTGACCGTGTTTAAGGCATAAGTATATCACATTATAGAACATTATTTTACATCATTTAAGGATGGCATTCTACTCACAGAATATCAGCGAGAAAAAATGACATAATGCTGTTATCAGCTATCTATCTTCTAATATCACAACGTGTTGATGTTTTGGAAAAAAACATAAAACTTTGACCCTAATTAAGTCTGTTATGTTAACTAACGCTTTATTAACATTTTGAATGTAGGGCACCAAACCAAACATAATATATTTACATAACTTGGTGAAAACAAAATATTTCAAAATCATGCAATCGCGGTTTCCTGACCTATGTAACAGGTTTCGAATTAAAGCCGTAGATAGTCATTTTTGACTTTCTAATAATAAAACGTCAGTTTTCAATATATATATTAATATAAATATATTTCTCTTTTATAAAATGACAATTGCTCAAACTAACAAACTTTTTTTTACTCGCCGAAGATACATAGATCATTTTTTATCTAAGATGCTAAAGTATTAAGTATAACTTTGATGTATTTCTCGCAAGCGATTTTCGGCATATATGCCTAGGAAAAATAAAAATAAAAGCAGTTATATGAACGGATAGTGTGCTTCCGTTTTGTTAAAGCTCATGTTATGGCAACACAGCTGAAGTACGCCAGGAAGACATAATTACTGTCCTCCATTTTTACACGTTGAACCGTGATAGCTCAGGGGCTAAGCGTTCGCTGCGAATTTCATAGTACACCCGCTGGCATTAATGAAATTGTTAACTGTAATTTTAAGTGCTGATTTACCTCGAGCTCGGTGGTGAAGGAAAACGTCGTGAAAAAACCTGCATGACTGAGAAATAAGTAAAAAGAAATATTTCGATGACATGTGAAATTTGCCAAACCCTTTCAGAAATAAGGGGAAGTCTAAGCTAAGCAGTAGGAAGTATGCTCCTGTAACTTTAGCATTAACTATTTTTACACGTTGGCTCTGTATTGTAACATTTCCTACACATCGGACCGTAATATTATTATTAGGGGACATAATCTTCTTCTACAGTAAGGAACATTTTACAATTACTATATATTAATCCTAATAAATAATGTACTTTTAAAACTATATTTATAAATTTAAAAAACGTGATATAAATATTGATATGAAATAGTTTTTATATAACCTATTCAATGTTATTTCGTGTATTTTACACAACAAAATATTGGTTTGCCCGCTTATGTTACTCCAAATTATTACTAGGTATTTCAGGTTTTTGAAAAATAATTGTGAATGTAAAATCATACATATTGATGACTCTTAGGATGGGAACTCTGAGATAAGTCAACATCCAAAAGGTCTTAACGTTTGATACTAAACACTGTTTCGTTCTTTTTTATTTATGGACAAAAAAATCTGTTATAGAATAGGGGTGACAAGCGAGTACACAGCCAACATGATGGTAAGTGGATGCTGTGGCCAATAGACATCTACATCCACCCTCGATTAAGAATCCAAATGAAGATGCGTCGTCAGCCCTGAGGAGAAATGCCTCCTTTCCAGTAAAAAGAGTCTCCAGTTCACTACACTCACCATACGAAACACAGCAGCATTGAGCTGCTATTTTACGCTGGTATTCTGTGAGAACGTGGTCCTTCCCCGGTCCAACCGACCCATTCGTGCTACAACCATAATATAGTTGTAGCATTTATCAAGTATAACCACGTATAAGAAGTAAATAATATTTTTTTATTCTTATTTGAATATGCATGATTTATAAACAAATGTTGGTATAAAAACAGCATTTAATTAAATAACAGACATCACCTAAATTAAAAAAATTACACACACAAACAACAAAAGCAACAAAAAACATTTTAGATTCTTAGTTTTCCCATACTTGTCTAAAATTTGTCAATCTTTTTGGTTTACGAGAGACGAGTCCACGGCGCTTTGTTACGGATGTCTTTTTTAGCAGGAACTGATGTTTTTTTAGAAGAAACATGTTTACTACATTCAGATGGGGCTTCAGACGCTAGTTTAAGCGGTCCCTCCTTTGCAGTTTTTGTTACCTGGATAAAACTTGGCTTCGTTATCTGAATTAAACGTGCCTGGTTTTGTTTTATATTTGTGAATTCTTTACGGCTTTGAGTAGGAGCGTTCTGAGCACGAGCTTCGGCTTGAATAAGAACTTTTTGTTTTTGTAATAAATTTTTTCTGCGTTTGTCTTGGTTTCTTACTGCCTGTTTCTGATTATTATTTCTTACCAAGAATCGAAATTCAGGCAAATTAGTCTCAGGATCATCTTGTGGTTGCTCTGCAATTATGGCGACATTATTTTGTGGTAACGATGCCTTTCTTAACTGTGAACGATTTAGTTCCCATAAACGAAGCCAGCGTTCCTCAATAGGTTCCTCTTGGGGAGGCTTTGTCGTGGTGGAAATGCTTTTCTCGGTAGCGCTTTCATACGCGACCAACCTGAATACTTGCTGTCGAGGAGCTTCTGACTGTGCTTCTGACTGTGTTTCTGATTGTGTTTCTGACTGTGCTTCTGACTGAGATTCAGGTTGTGATTCTGGCTGATCATTCTCCGTTTCTTCTTCGTCTTCTTCTGTTTCAGTTTGATTTTCTTCAATCTGTTCTTCAGGTTCAGACGTTAATCTAAGGTCAGTGAGATTATCTACAGAAATTGGTAATAAGTTTCTGTTTTGAGGTGATCTGTATACCCATGTAAGTTGAGGCCATTCTTCAACTTCTTCCGAATTAGGTTCTTCGACTGGTATCAATGATGGTTCCTCATTGTTTTCCTCTTCCAATGCTTCAGAGTCTTCTTCAAGAGACCTCAACTGGAACAGTTCCTCTTGTTCTTGTTGAGTTTGTTCTGATTCTTCCTGGTTTTCTTCAGAAGTTTCAGCCTGATTGATTAGCTGATAATTGATGTAACCCTTGCCCTCTTGTAAGGCCTTAATTTGGCTTGGTGTTAGGTATAAGATAAGTTCTCGCTTCTGAGGATTTTGATTTACTGGTATATTTTTGGTTAATGTTTGTGGTCCAGGGCCTAATGGTGTAGACTGCACCGCAATTACTAAGACCACTAACATAAAACATATCTGAAAAAAAAATAATTTTAGTACACGGAAAAAAGGATGAAATTATATTGTAGTTCAAAAATAAGAATAGAGGAATGCTCGTGCTCGGCTTGTGCTAAGTTGCGTCAAAATTTTGTTGCAGTGACCCTTGTCCCTGCATGCTCCAACCACCAACTTGAAACCTAGATAAAAACTACGGTTGTATTCTGGCCGTTCACCAACGGGTGAAAGGGAATAGCAAACCATATCCGCAGCCAGAGTGACTAGCACCGGAACAGCCCCTCTTCCACTTGTTATGATTGATGCCTAGCTAGTTGACACGGTGGCGAGTATAGGAGCCGCTATTAATATTTATTTTATTTTATTTTTAATTTTTTGTTATAGCGGCAACAGAAATACACATTCTGTCAAAATTTCAACCGTTTACCTGTTAAGGATCATGAGGACAGCGGAGGCATAGTAATGTGAGTCCCGTTGGTATCGTATACGGAACCCTAAAAAGTGTAAAATAATGGTAATGCTTTAATGAAGGCCTATGTTCAGCAGTGTACTTGTGAAGGGAAGTACCTAATGATATATTAAATATTTATAAATATATAGGCATACTTACTGAAGGATTCATGGCGACTATATAAAAGTGGCTTTAGAGGACGCCGAGGAACGTCTGCACAAAATTATTAAAAACTATCAGTTTTATACTCAAGATTCTAACTTCACCGATTTCATTTAGGCGGGCATTGCCACCGAATTTGCATTTTGAATATATTTCTCAAAATGATCCACTTAAGATTAGCTGTTTCGAAATCAATCGAAATCGTCATCAAAAAAAACGAATAAAATTATATAATGTTATGTTACCTACAAAACTTACTACAAGCTTACTCATAATGCCTGGTTAAAAGTTGGAAGATAGTCTGATGACATTTGACTTAGTACTCCAAATTCAAAATAATGTTCTATTAAAGTTAAAGTTATTTTAAAAATCAGTTGTACGTTGGTTTTTCTTGAATTAAAGTTCTGTCGGCTCCGCACGCCAGATCAACGACCTATGACTGGGTAATGCGATTGGACGAATTTAGTTCTCTCCGTCTGAAAATATCAAGCCATGAGATCCATGGATTACTGGTGGTGCTGGTAGTAGTGATTTTCATATTATCGGCTTTAGGATTTTCATGGGGCAAAAATTTTACATCCGATAAGGCGTTAAAAGCACTTACAATAAAAATAATCTATATATTTCCGTCCCGATAACTTCCATAGCATAGATATCGTAAGCCGTCGCGTGGGTATCGTAAGATAGGACAGAGGAAAACAGAAACAGGTGATGGGCAGCGGCATATCCTGATAAAAACTCAAAAAAATAAAAAAAAACCGTGGTTGCCGACACGCCTGACAAGAGTGGCAACTGTGGCAAAATTTGCCTATGGGGGAATCTATGCCTATGGGGATATCTAATTAAAAGGTTGTAATGGTTAGATGGAATGGATAGATATTATTCAACTTTCATTGAACTACATAAGAACCTAAAATATTATGTATTTGAATCTCACATTAAAATGACAAGCTGTCAATAAGCGTTGTCGATTATATTTCATACGGATTCGTATTGAAGTCTCAATAAAACGTAAGTCCATATATCAATTAATTATCACCATAATTGATAGAATCAGGCGTTTCTTTGCGGAAATTCATTACAATAAAGATATTAATTAATTCGCAACCATCCGCTTAAAATACAATGATGTGTCTTACCTGAATTGAAGAGTGCCTCCCGCCCTCCCTCAATTGCATGCACTAATCCAGTCACCACTAATTCCAGCACCACTACTCCCAACACCAATATTCCAGGATAGACACCACCATCACCAGACACCATCGATGACAATACAAATTTTCGTATTTCGACTGGATTAGTGCATGCAATTGAGGTAGGGCGCGAGTTGAGACGCGATGGTTGCGAATTAATTAATATCTTTATTGTAATTATCAACAATATAAATTAATTCAATAAATAATAAAATAAAAAATTAAAATTTTAGTCATTGTAAGTTGTAGTAATAGTTTTCTGTGAAATAGGCAGAGTCGTCCTTGGCTTTAAAATTATAACTTTTAAAGTCAAGGGAGATTCGGAAGGGGGAGGTGTGAGCGGTATAGCGAAAGGTAAGGCGGAGTCAAGAGCACCGTTAAGGGCAGTTTTTATCCTCAACAGGCGGAAAAGACCCCTGTCCCCCACGCCTATAAATGGCTAACCCCAAGGGTAAGACGAGGGTCCTCCAGGTAAATTTTCACCATGCAGCAGCTGCCTCTGCCATGGTGGATGTTTGCTTTGCAGAGGACAACATTGACCTCACCCTCATACAAAAGCATTGGGTGGCCAACGGCGAAGTTCTGAGATTGTCGGCGTCCGGTAAAATCCTTTCAATACTAAAGGCAAAGTAGACCCAGAGCTTGTATTATTTATAATAAAAATATTGAACTTTTAGCTGTTACAGAGTATTGCAATGACGTCCTGGTTACAGCCTTCATAAATCTCAAGGGATGCTCAGGGGCCAGAGTAATCATTTGCTCAGCATATCTTCCCGGAGAGAAATCACATCCTACCATCGAGTTAGAGCGAGTGGCAGAGTGCGAAACCACCACTTGTGGTGGGTTGTGATGTAAATGCTTTTACAACAAAATTCCAGAAAATATGCAGGAATTTTCTATCAAAAAGTTTAAAATTTAAAAAAAAAGCAAAAATTTCATAATAAGATTTATTACAATATTAAAATGTACGTGATATATAATGACTCCTGGGAATAAGGTGATCGCTTCACATGATTCGCACCACACAGCCTGGGGAAGCACTAGCATCAATGAAAGAATTGAGTTATTTTATGATTTTCTCATCTCCAACCGCCTGGTAAACCTAAACTTATAGTATACACCAACCTTTGTAACTTAGACATAACCTTTGCTGCCAATAACATGGCAGATAAATTAGACATGTTAGTAATGAAAACTCGATGTCCGATCACAAACACATTAAGTTCATGATTGAAGCATCACAAACCTATGAAACCGTTGCTTTTAGGGATCCAAAAGCGACCTTCTGAGATATCTACAGAGATAGCCTAAGGAGGAATTTGAAAACGTTTCCTAAAAGCATCAAAACGATTGAAGGTCTGGAGTTAGCGACGGAGACAGTAACCGTAGGTATCCGTGAAGCTTTTGAGGACAATTATCCCGTCAAAACCAAGACTTCAACATGAAAAGTACTTTGGTTCCACCAACCTGGTTACACCATTATCAAACAGAAAGACATAAATAGCGCTATTTCAAACTTCGATTGAGGTTGCAATTACAAGAGGCTGCCCACAAGGAAGTGTTTTGTCACCCCTTCTTTCGACTCTTGCGGTTGACAACTATTTTTACAAGATGACAGACCAACGCATTGATACACTGGGTTACTCTGATGACCTTGTGATCATTGCGAAGGGCTTTTGCCAAAATACTTTATTTTCAATCATACAAAGAGCCCTAAACACCATAAATAACTGGTGTAGGGATAACAGTTTATCAGTTAATGTTGATAGAACTGTAATAATACCCTTTACCAAAAAAGAGACTGTTGAATAAATTAACCACACTAAAACTCAAAAGTAAAGAATTACCACTTTCCACTGAAGTTAATTACTTGAGCGTAACAATCGACCTTACCAACATATGCCATAAAGCAAAAATTGCTTTAGGTACGTGCAGTCGTTTGGTTGGCTGTACAGCAGCATAATGAGGCCGATTCTCATCTACGTCTCCACTGTCTGGTGCAACAAAGCTAACCGAAAGACGACTGCGGACAGACTAAATAGTCTACAAAGGACTCCCTGCTTATGCGATCATTGCCTGTAGCGGCTCTTAATGCACTTCTATGCCTAACGCTCCTTGATATTTATCTAGACAAGGAGGCGAAGGCTCGTTTGTATAGGATTAAAGCCCATGGCGGTTTGAGCTTGCTCTCCTACAGATGGATATCCATGCTCGACTTAATTAAGGAAACAGCGGTCTTATGAATGACCTCAGATGTTATGCGTTCACTATACACTTTAATAGAAAGTATATAGTGGAACTACCCTCCAGAGAAAACTGGCTGAATGGCCAGGTTATCTGAGAGGTCCGTAGCCTCACATGGTAAACCGATGGGTTTAAAATGGGTCTCGACGTAGCCTTTGGAATTTACGGGGAACGCCCCAAATTCAAACTTAGTATGAATTGGGGTAGATTCACCTCTGTCTTCCAGGCAGAAATTTTTGCCATACTTCAGTATGTGAAAATCAATCTGCAAAAACCCTACGTCAACCACATAATTTATATAAACTCTGACAGTCAAGCAGAACTGACAACGCCGAGGTCGATGTTAGTGAACTCGAAGCTAGTTGGAGACTGCGTGAACCGTTTAAACGCCCTGGGTCACGTGGGTATTTTAAGCAACGAATTTGCCGACAAACTTGCACGGGAGGGCTCAAAGTGTACACAATTTGGACCTGAGCCATGTTGTGGAATCACAATAAGCCTAGCCTGATTGATGCTTGAAATTCTTTATCACAATAAATTGCTTAAGATCTGGTCTGACACACCAAGCTTAAAACATTCTAAAACCTTAATCCGGGCTTTTGATCGTAAATTCGCTTCAGAAGCCTTGGGATTAAATAAAAATAAATTGCGCATTCTGACAAGAGCCCTAACTGGACACTGTTGTCTTAAGTACATCCTGAGACTAAGTGACTCAAGGATGTGTCGATTCTGTTTCATAACGGAAGAAACGCCTTTGCACATAGTAACTGAATGTAACAAAATCCTTAATGCGCAAACGTAACACTAATCTGGGAAACTATGTACTCCGCTCAGAGGAAATGTAAATGCTCACAGCTGAATAACTCCTCCTATTCATTGAAGATATAGGGCTTAGCAGTGAACTATAGCCATAGCAGCGATCACAATAGATATTTTAGGTCACAGTGATACTAGTCTCCTTTCCCATACATGTATAGCTGCTCGCACATTAAAAGAAAAAGAAAAGATCAAAACATAAATTCTAAGGCATATTCCTGAGATCAAATTACTTTCGGTTTGCTTTTAAAACAGTAATTTTTTTCTTCTGATTCGTAGTCAACTAAAGTTTACTGCTGAACTTAGTCCCCTCTAATGGATTGCTCACAGGGAACTCATACTTTCCATTGTTGCCAGGCTTTGCAGACGGGTTGGAAACCGTGGTTTTTTGTTATATTGAGTAGTTACACAAAGATACTGCTACGACCTTCGACTATCTTGTCAACATGCGTACACAGACTTGACGAGGCGTTCGTGTACGAGCGTGCGTGTGTCGCCTGTTAATACCGCTGGATAGAAAGAGGCAGTAAATTGCTTAAATTAATTTGAAAAATCTCCTGACTATATATGAGTATTCACCCCGAAAACACACTTTAAAAAAAGTGAGTGCAGAACCTCATCAGTGGGTGTTTAGCGGGAGTAACTGTTTTGATATCTCGAATGCATAAAAGTTTGCTTTTGTATTACAATTGTTAAAGCACAGGGCTAACTTTGAACATTACAGATTCATATTTTAAGTACAGTCAACTTTACAATGTCTTATATGCACCATGAAAATAAATATAAAATAAAACGTGGTAGACCAACGCTGCAGCTATATTATGGTTGTAGCACAAATGGGTCGGCTCGACCGGGGAAGGACCACACACTCACAGAATACCAGCATAAAATAGCAGCTTAATGCTGCTGTGTTTTGTATGGTGAGTGTAGAGAACTGGAGACCCGTTTAACTAGGACCGAGGCATTACTTCTTAGTTCTCAGGGGTGACAACGCATCTGCATTTAGATTCTTAATCGAGGTTAAAACAGGTATTAAAAGTATTTCATATCTACTGTGATGTTTTCGAAAAACTATATATATAATTATATAATTTTATTTAACCCGCGTTTAGTCTATTAGCTAAATAGCTTTATATGATTTTGAATGAAGAGCATAGTTTTCAAACATTATAATTTATTATTCGCACAACTAGGTGAAAACAAAAATGTCAAAAATTTGATATCGCGGCTTTCTGTTTTCATGTAACAGTTTTAAATTGAAAGTGGCAAATTATACGCAACATAATACTTATTAACACCATAATGTTTATTTTATTCATTAGCCAACTTCAAAAAATTCAATTGTGATTCCGATTTTCAAGTTTTATGATTCGTTTTATCAAATATTTTAAAGTTCAGGGGTAGTTTAAATCTCAAAAGAGTAAAAGAAAGAGCTTTTAACGAAAAGTTAAACCCGACTTCAAACAACTAAAAATAAAAATATAATTTCACATAATCTGGTTGTTACCTTGAACTTGTAGTGTGATAGTGACTCAAATCAAACTCAAAGGTTAGTAAGTTAATTTAAAAAAATGCACATAATAGCTTCTGAAGTGGAGGATTTAGCTCCTCTATATACTATGTCTTAGCATTGCCTGAAAATGTGATATTATTTTATTCTTTTTAATCCTTCAAAATCAGTTTTTTTTTAAGTTTTTATTTTCTATTAAAATTATTAATTTTTGCTCAAGACATTAATAATACGTACTCTATATCTCACAATACTCCTTCCACTCCTCTATATCTCACAATAAATCTCTCTTTGCTCTTAAACTGTGAAACTCCTTACCTCTGTGGACTAAAAGAGTCCAATACTTATATTTGTTCAATAAAGTCTCTCTAAAACTCCGAGACAATTCACGATCCAAAATGCTTTTACGTAAATGACTTCAGGTTGGTAGTTGACACCGTTTTATATTTTTTTTATCGTAAATTTTATTTTTATTATATAATAAGGGTGGCAAGCCCACAGCTGGGCACCTGATGGTAAGTGGATATTGTGACCCATAGACATCTACATCTACGAGTATCCTAGAATAGGAAACTAAATGCAGAGCGTCGTCACTCCTGAGGAGTCAGATGGAATGCCTCCTATTCAGTAAAAAGGATCTTCGGTTCTCTACATTCACGATGCGAAACACAGCGGCATAGGGCTGCTATTTTACGCGTATTCTGTGAGAGCGTGGTTCTTCCCCGATTTAGTCGACCCATTTATGCTACAACTATAATACAGCTATGGCATGGCTCATCTACGTATAAGATATAAATAATATAATTTTTTAAATTTTAAATCTTATTTAAATATGCGTGATTCTCATGTAATGTCTAATATAAAAAAATTGGTATAAAACAGCATTTTATTAAATTACAGACATCACCTAAATAAACAAATTACACAAAAGCTACAAAAATTTTTTTATACTCATTTCTCCCAGATATGTCTAATAATGGTTAATCTTTTTGGTTGACGTGAGACGGGTCCACGGCGCTTTGTTATGGGTGCCTTTTCAGCAGGTGCTGCAACTGCTAGTTTATTCGCTCCCGCCTTTTTGTTTCTTGTTACCTTTACAAAACTTGGCTTAGTTATCTGAATTAAACGTGGCTGGTTCTGTTTTGTAATTGTGACTTCTGTACGGCTTTGAGTGGGAGTATTCTGTCCACGAGTTTCGGCTTGAATAAGAGCTTGTTGCTGTTCTAATACATTTTTTATGCGTTTGTCTTGGCTTTTGACTGCCTGTTTCTGACTATTATTTCTCACCAAGAATCTAAGTTTAAGCAAATTAGTCTCAGGTTCAGCTTGTAGTTGCTCTGTAGTGGTGGTGACATTGTCTTGCGCTGGCAATGCATTTCTTAACTGTGAACGATTTAGTTCCAACAAACGAAGCCAGCGTTCCCTAAGAGGGTCTTCTCGCGGAGCCTTGTTTGTTGTGCTTTTCTCAGTAGTGCCTTCAGAGGCTACCAACCGGAATACTTGCTGTCGAGGAGCTTCTGGCTGTGCTTCTGACTGAGATTCCGGTTGTGCTTCTAGCTGATCATCCTCCGTTTCTTCTTCACCTTCTTCTGTTTCAGTTTGATTTTCTTCAGTCTGTTCTTCAGTTTCAGAAGTAAATCTAAGGTTGGCGAGATTATCTATAGAAATTGGCAATAAGTTTCTGTTTTGAGATAATCTGTATACCAATGAAAGTTGAGGCTCTTCTTCAACTTCTCCCGAGTTAGGTTCTTCCACTGGTACCAATGATGGTTTCTCATTGTTTTCCTCTTCCAATGCTTCAGAGTCTTCTTCAAGAGACCTTAACTGGAACAGTTCCTCTTGTTCTTGTTGAGCCTGTTCTGATTCTTCCTGGTTTTCTTCAGAAGTTTTAGCTTGATTGATTAGCTGATAATTAATGTTACCCTTGCCCTCTTGTAAGGCCTTAATTTGGCTTTGTGTTAGGTATACGATAATCTCTTGTTTTTGAGGTTTTCGGATTGCTGGTACATTTTTGGTAAATGTTTGTGGTCCAGTGCCCAATTGTATAGATTGCACCGAAATAACTAAGACCACTAAAATAAACCATATCTGAAAAATAAAATATTAATTTTAGTATACGAATTAATATTGTAGTTCAAAAATAGTCAAAATTTCGTTGCAGTAATAGGGACAACTACTTGCTCGGGGCTTTGATAGAGGCTACAGTTGGATTCTGGTTTTTTTGCGAACGGGTGAAAAGGAAGAACATATCATATCCGCAGCCAGAGAGACGAGCACCGGAGAAGAGCATATCAGCCCCTCCACTACTTGTTATGATTGACGCCTGATTGACACAGTGGTGAACCGTCACCCCAAATTATATATGACATCGAGATGAGGCTTACAGTTTTCCCATCCAGCTTAACTGATTCCAATTATATGTAACAAATTTAAAATATGTATGTTGTCGTAAAATATGTGCATTTGAATTCTTAATTTCTTAGTTAATTGACAGGAACGTTATTTACTTCTATTTTCTTCAAAATATCACTTTGATAACCATAAATATATGGTTGAGGGCGAAGGGGCGCGTTTTATGTAAACTAAATGTACCGTGTGAGAAACGTAATGAGGTCACTGGCCTGGGTGACTTCTGATATAGTTAGAAAATCAAATTCAAAGCTATGTAAGAAGGATGCAGTACCTACTTAATATTTCCAATTCGACTGAAATGCTAAATGGTATATAGTAGTGTCCTGCATTCTTTATAAAACAAAAATACAAGCCTGTTTTGAATTAACTTCAATCAATATCTATTGTGAGGTAAAAATAAATAAATATACAATTTGAAACGACGAGAATTTATGTAAAATATGTATGTGCTTGTAAGGGGCGAATATTCGAAAAATATTTACAACGATAATTTATTTTAAACTGGCCATTTGTATCGGCTTCGCATCTGGGTACTATAACAGAGCCACCTACCGGGTCTAACTATGCCTATAATTTTCAAGTGCAAACAATATGTTGACAAAGTTTAAACGAAATCTGATAAGTAGTAGTTTAAAAATTTTGAGAGCACAATTTTAATTATATCCGAGCAAAATGGCCTATGGGGAGTGATTACAAGGTGCACGGCGAAGGGGCTGCACTTTCACAGCACCGCACCGGAGCGATTGCAGAACTTGAAGTTAATACGTCTCAATATTTAGGACCTCCAGGTGGGCGAGTCAAGTACGTGTATTTCTGCTTCCTCCCTCTTATCTACTAACTTCTTAAAGCCTGTTATTAGATTCTTAATAAAACCTGAAAAAATTGAATATCCTTGGGTTTCTATTTAATAGAATTATTTATTAAAAAGTGTTAAATAATGGTAATGGTTTAAGGGAGGCCTATGTTCAGCAGTGGAAGTTGTGAAGAGGATAATGAAAAAATACTCTGGTATATAAGGTACATGGACTAAGGCTGTAGAGATGTAATATATATACAGGTTTCTATTTAATAGAATTATTTATTAAAAAGTGTTAAATAATGGTAATGGTTTAAGGGAGGCCTATGTTCAGCAGTGGAAGTTGTGAAGAGGAGTAATGATGTATTAAATTATTATAAATAAATACACTTACTGAAGAATTCATGGCGACTATATACAAGTGGCTTTGGAGGACGCCGGGGAACGTCTGCACAAAATGATTAAAAACTATCAGTTTTATACTCAAGATTAATCTTTGGAAGGTGATCAAATTTGCAACTATTCGCCAAATTTGAATAGGCATAGAGCATTGCCACATGTTTTGCATTTTGAATGTATCTATAGGCCATATATTTCTTAAAATGGTTTCATTAAGATGAGCTGTTTCGAAATCATGAAAAAATGAATGAAATTATATAATGTTATATAGCCTACAAAACTTACTACGAGCTTACTCATAATGCCTAGTTCGAAGTTTGAATATAATCTATGTCTTACATTAGAGTTGGAACTCCAAAATTCAAAATAATGTTTTATTAAATTAAACTTGTTGCTTTTAAAAATCAGTTGTACATTTGTTTTCCCACCGTTTGAGTGTTTAAACTGAAACTGAAAATGAAAACCCGCATAATTATATAATTTGAGTTTTATCGGCTCCGCACGATAAATCATCGACCTGTACCGAGCAGGAAATATCAATCAATGAGGTCCATGGATTATTGGTGGTGCTGGTAGTAATGATTTTCATAATATCGGCATCGGAATGCAGTGAAAAAAACTTATTGTAAAAAGTAATTTGTCGGTTTCCGTCCCGATAACTTCTATAGCATAGACATCGTAAGCCGTCGCGTGGGTATCGTAAGAATGGACTGCGGAAAAGTGATTCAGGTGATGGGCAGGGGCATCTTCCTGAAAAACTCAAAAAAAAACTGCGGTTGCCAACACGCCCGACAAGATAGCAACTATGGCAAAACTTACCTATAAGTCAATCTATGGCAGGTGCCTATGCTTAGTAGTGGACATTCAAAGGCTGTAATTGGTGGATGGAATGTACAGATATCATCGAACTTTCATTAAAATGCATAAAAACCCAATATATTACATGTGTAGAAAAATAAACAAGCCACATTTATATGTACTCAAAGCTTGCTAAGAAAGTTCGAAGCATACCTTCTAAGGCATACTCCTGGAATCGAATTGCGTTCGATTTACTTTTAATGAGTCTGTAACAATCTTTACAATTATGAGTTAAAGTTATTTCTAGGCCCAGGCCTCCTCTCGTTTATTTTTTTGAAAGGGGAGAAGGTTTTACGGTAAGGGCAGCTTAGCAACTTGAATCTTTTTACGAGCACATACTAAGTCTAATATATAAAAAAGTATATAAAAAACCAATTGAACTACGAACTATTCGTTCAGCAACTTGCTACGATTTAAAGAGGAAAGACATAAAAATATACTGTTTTTATAACGTATACCGACTTAAGTTATTAAAACAGTATTTTTTATCTTCTGCATAGTAGCTAACTAAAGTCCACTGGTAAATTTATGCCCCTCTAATGGATTCCTCATAGGGTACTCATATTCGCCATATTTGCCACTCTTGGCAGACGAGTTTCGAAACCGCAGTTTTTTATTATTTTGAGTAGTTTTTTATAGAACAAGGGTAACAAAAGAGCCTACAGTCCACCTGATGGTAAGTGATTGCTGTGGCCTATAGACATCTACATCTACCCACGATGACGAATCAAAATGCAGATGCGTTGTCACCCGTGAGGACTAAGATGGAACGCCTCATTTGCAGTAAAATGGGTCTCCGGTCACTAACCATACGAAACACAGTAGCGTTAAGCTGCTATTATACGCTGGTATTCTGTGAGAGCGTGGTCCTCACCCGGTCAAGCCGTCAAGACCCGGTCAAGACCGACCCATTCGTGCTAAAACTATACTACTAATATAGCTGCAGCATGGCCACGTAAATTAGTTTTGAAAATTAAAAAAAAAATGGGTTTTGAACCCCATCAATTAGTGTTTAGCCAGAGTAACTATTTTGATCACTCGAATAATAAAAGTTTGCTTACAGGGCCAACTTTGAACGTTACTGATTCATGTTTTTCTCATCGTTTACTTTGCACGATCCTGTGTGCACCATGACATTTAAGTAAAGCGCCTAAATTCTACGTTTTTAAAACTTTCAATAATTTGTATAGTGGAACGACTTACGTATTTATTTAAATAAATAAATAGAGGAACGATTTACACCTCAATACATGTGTTTTAAAATTTAGATCAATAATTCCGAAAGCCAAAAAAAAATTTAAAAATTTATACAGTTTTGATTTGTCTGCTTCAATAACATTACAACACATAAAGTTTTCGAAAAAAAAATTATGAAACTTTGACCCGCATTAATTCTATTTACTAAATAGCGCTTTAAGATTTTGAATGAAGAGCATAGTTTCCAAACATTATAATTTATTATTTGCGTAACTAGGTGAAAAGAAAATATTATAAAACTTGATATCGCGGCTTTCTGGTTTCATTTAACAGTTTTGAATTGAAAGTGGCCAATTATGCGGTAACAGGACGAATGATATTTATTATATTTACTAAATATCCAATATCGAATAATAATATGCCAACTTCGAAAGATTCAATTACGATTCCCATTTCCAACTTTGATGATTTCTTTTCATTAAATTTTTTAAATTTCAGGGGTTACAACATATTAAACTATAATGAGTAACACTGAAATCCAATTGATTCAATCATTTTGATTGTGATATTTAATAGGTATAATATTAAAATTTCCAACTTATCCTTTTTACCAACTTTCAGTTCAACGTAAAGTTTTAATAACATTAAAATAAATAAAGTAGGTAATGTTAACAGTTCCTTGACTTAACTTTTGAAGATATTTCTTTGTTTTATTCTATTTATTAATATGCATTACAAAGTATCAAAAGTCCACTACAGAACGTAGTCCTTTTTCATAATTTGGTCCATAGGGGAATATTTGTTATAGTTTTCTCGCTTGAACCAACCAACCACCGAACTGCAATTTTTCAGATGTTCCCCTCCCCTGTTTCAGATTCACTTTGACGCCTTACGACAGGAACCCGCGGGATGATATGAGGTAGTGGATTATTATTTAATGCCACCACTACACGGCAACAAAGAATGATTTGCACGTATTTGCAATGTTTTGAGCACTCGTCTATATCTCACAATAAATCCCTCTTTGTTCTTAAATTGTGAAATCCCTTGTCCCTGTATATTAAAAGAGTCCAATCCTGACATTTGTTCAATAAACAGGTAAAAAACATTATTTGCCACTAATTTCTTTCTCTTTCTTCTTTCATTTATGGAAACATGGCTCTACCATGTAGAAAATATAATTACTTCTTTGTAGCACCAGAAACTTTTAATTCTCTCAGACTGAATTTTCAATCATGGCGATCAGTCACAACGGTGACTAGCTATCAGCGTAAGGTTATACTGCTCTAGTGTATGCACAAATAAATGTGCACTCTCTACTTCCTCATTTTCATAGTCCTATGGGTCGGATATTCGACATGGACGGATAGAAAACAGACGCAGGGCTAAAGTCCTTTTATGCTTTCCACGAGGGAAGGATAAAAACTTCGTGACTTTAGTATACTTCCGGAGTCTCTTGAGAGATAGATAGAAAGATAGGTAACACTTTATTGCACGCCAGAAACAATAATACAAACATAAAAACACAAATATTAACAAAAAAAAGGAGATAAAGAAATGTGATACATTGGGCGGTCGTAATTATAAGTAATAATTATCCGACGCGGGATTGGAATCGTCTTGATCAACAGTCGTATTAATGACCACTAGGCCGACGAGGCAGTCAATTTTATATTATATCATATCGAAAATACGAGGTGTTAGATATTACTATACATTTAATCCCGCACTTATGATAACCGCTGTCATCAACAGTAACAACTTCTGCTTTATAGACGAAGTCAACTACGCAAGACATTTATGGTATTTTATATAGTACAATAAGTATTAGATAAGGCGCAGAAACACTTATACCTTTGATATTCGATGTAGCGTGTAGGTAATGATATCGGAGTTGAGTTTGAGTGCGTTATGTTAAAATACCAGAAAATCAATAACTTATAATATTAGTACTGAAAAATGCTATCTGTGGCGACTACGGAACATTACGGATTTAGAGTAGTGAACTCCCTCTATAATTTAAATTTAGCACCAGCGCAATTATGCTATACAATCGTGTAGCTCTCGTAATACATAGGCATAGAAATTCTGGGGAAACAGATGAACATTCATACATACATACACATATAGCCTGCTAAAATCATAACCCTCCTTTTCGCTTTGCCCTAGTTGGGTATAAATTGTTCATTGAAACTCTACCACCTGTTTCAAATGACATATAGGTATGTACTTATTTTTATTTAAAAATAATTTATATTGTTTAATTATATTTTGTTTTTGTTTAATTTTTTTATTTTTAATAAATCGATACCTTTTACATAACGGATGTTAAAATTTTATTATGTATGTAGACAAATTAATATTGTCATAATTTTATTCATCATTATTACTTAACTACGAAGTGAATAAAGCTTAATTCTTTTTGGAACTAGTAGCAGGTTTAAAATTGGTCTCTTCCTTTTAATACGCTACAATAGAATAGAATAAAAAGAATCAATATAGATTACAAGCAATTCTTATTGAAGTCATGTTTAATTTTACCACTGATTTGAAAAGTCAAACTTCTACCCTGGGATGTACCAGCAAGGAAACCAGTAGAACATTTTTTTAAGTAAATTATACGATGAGAAAGGCTACACAAACTTTTTTTTATAGGATAGAGTGACAAATGAGCACATAGTCCACCTGATGGTAAGTGGTTTCTGTGGCCCATAGACATCTACATATATCCTCGATTACGAATCAAAATGCAGATGCGTTGTCACCCGTGAGGACTACAATGGAATGCCTCGTTTCCAGTAAAAAGGGTCTCCGGTCTCTACACTCACCATACGAAACACAGCAGCATTAAGCTACTATTTGACGTTGGTATTCTGTGAGAGCGTGGTCCTTCCCCGGTCGAACTATTTATAAACTTTGTGTTCATTTATATTATAACTATCTTTTAACAAG